GTTGTGCGTGGCTGAAAGCATCCTCCCCATCCTCCCCAGTAGAGAGACAGAGAGACGGGAGTGGGAGGGACCACAGCCTGATGGTAAAAATAGCCTGTTTATTTTTTTAATTTTTAATGAATCACCGTGATATACAGTTACAGACTTACACACTTTCGTGTTTATATTTCATACAATGATCGAATACCCATCCCTCCACCAGTGCCCATTCTCCACCACCAATGTTCCCAGTATCTCTTCCAACACCACTCCCATATCCCCTTCCCCCCTCCTGTGGCAGGCGGATTCCCTTTTACTCTCTTTCTCGCCTTTTGGGTGTTATGGGTGTTATGGTCTGCAATGCAGGTATTAAGTGGCCATCTATAGCCAACTTTCAGCACACATCTCCCATCCCAAGCGGGTCCTCCAAGCATCCTTTACTTTGTGATCCCTTCTCTATCTGAGCTGGAAAATGACCTGTTTAATGCAGAGCTGTGAACATACTTATAACATCTGAGGGGGGGTGAGGTATAGCACCTAGGAGTGATTGATCATTTACATCTGGAAATTTACACAGATAATTTACATAGAAAGTCATTAGCATAGGACATTCTCTTGGAGGGAGACACTCTATCTCCCAGGGACATCTACATTGCTTTTATCTTTCCCTCTAGCTGTATATGTTCTCAATACTTGCATGGATTTGGATAAACACAGTAAGAGACAAAGATCCCAACACTTAGTTCTCTGGGCTCTGAGATCAAGCAAGGCTTTTACCATAAATTCCAGGCTAAGTTCTCAGGCCAGTTCAGCTTGTCCTTCCCCATGGGGGTCCTGTCTCTTAAATTGTAAGAGCTTGCATCAAGACCATGCATTTATGTTTTCTAGACTGTCCCATCTGGATACCACGGTAGCTTTGCCGCTCACCCCAGGTCCATCCCAGTCCCAGACCTCCCTGTTGGGGTGTTATAAACTACAGCAACTGAAGCCTGAGTCTAGTAATTATGACCAATGCCGAGGAGTAGAATGTTTCAGAGTTAATCAACTCCCAAATATTAGAAGCAAAGCATTAATGGTCTTTCTGTGTTTAACCAAAGAACCTTGCTCTATAGTAAAATATAAAAAGGCTACAGGAAAATAGAAAAGCAGGTACAAGTACACAGTACTTCAAATACAAAGCACTACAAAATACAAAGTTCAGAATTACCAGGAAGTTTTGGCTTATAAGTAATCAAGACTGACTTGGGGTACTGTGGCAATGAGAGATAAAATATAAAGGAAAGGCTAAAGATAAACTTTAACTAAATTGAGGATGCTAGCAAGAGCCCAGTAAGCTTCTCTGGGAGGAGGAAAAGGGGCGATTCACTGAGGATGCCTAAAACACTTAGGGTTAATATCCAACATCCCAGGACATCACACATGCCTGCCAAGTGGTCCCTAACCCAACATTTGTATTTATCTATCATAAAAAGCTTTTGGAACCCTGCTTTAGAGATGAGAACAGGGAGGCAGGAGACTTATTCCTGGTTGCTTGGGATTGGTGGGCTGCTGAAATCTGAAATCCGAGCCCAAGGGGTCACAAGCTAAAGTCCCCACCCAGTGGAGGATGCAGGGCCACTCTACCACTGCCAAGTTGGAGAGAGCAGGGAGTGAGGGAGCCTTCCAAAGTGGCCAATCCAAAGGGGAACTTTCTAGAAAGTCAGAGGGAAGTTCTGGAACAAGAGGCAAAGTTGACAGTGACCACACGATGAGACCAGCAGGGAAATGGACACAGTTGGGAACCCAAAAATCTCCCCAGCTCTGTCCCTGAGCATGTGACTGTCCCCACACAGTCCTCTTGTCTCTATCTGTCTGTCTGTCTGTCTCTGGCTCCCTGCTGCTCCCTGACCATCAGCAGCTCCAGACAAGGCTTTCCTGGGAATGCTCTGGGTTCCTCCCTGAGAGTGACCCCAGAAGGCCTGAGTGTCTGGGTTGGGGACCCCTGATGCACCCCGAGTCCCCCCCAGTATGCCCTGAAGCAGCAGGGATGCCCCCTCCTGCTCCCAGCACGTTGTTGTGTGGCCTCACAGTGACAATGGCCCGATTGTCCCGGGTGTGGGACTTAGCTGTGGGGCTTAGCAGGATCAGAATTCAGCCCTGCACACCCTCCATGAGTGGACCTTTCCTGGGCAACTGAGGCCCTGAGGGGAGAAGCAAGTTTCCCACAGCAGCCCAGGGCTCTAGGCCACTGCAGACGAACCACAGATGGGTAGGACCGGGATCTGGCCCTGCCCTCTCAACCCAGCCACCAGCGCTAGCAGGTGTCCTGGTCTTGGTCAGAGATTGCATGGCCAGAGAGGGCACTTGCCTTGCACACAACTGGCATGAATTCCATCCCAGGCATCCTATATGGTCCACAGAGCATCACCAGGAGCGACCCCTGAGCACAGAGCCAGGAGTAAGACCTGCGCATTCCAAGGAAGGAAGGAAGGGAGGGAGGGAGGGAGAGAGGGAGAGGAGGAGGAAGGAAGGATGGGAGGGAGGAAGGAAGGAAGGAAGGAAGGGAGAGAGGGAGGGAGGGAGGGAGGGAGGGAGGGAGGGAGGGAGGGAGGGAGAGGAGGAGGAAGGAAGGATGGAAGGGAGGAAGGAAGGAAAGAAGGAAGGGAGGGAGAGAGGGAGGAAGGATAGGAGGGAGGGAGAGAGGAAAGATAGGAGGGAGGGAAGGAGGGAGGGAAGAAGGAAGGAAGGAAGGAAGGAAGGAAGGAAGGAAGGAAGGAAGGAAGGAAGGAGGGAGGAAAGATAGGAGGGAGGAAAGATGGGAAGGAGGAAGGAAGGAAGGGTGGGAGGGAGGGAGGGAGGGAAGAAGGAAGGAAGGAAGGAAGGAAGGAAGGAAGGAAGGAAGGAAGGAAGGGTGGGAGGGAGGGAGGGAGGGAGGGAGGGAGGGAGGGAGGGAGGGAAGAATGGAGGGAGGGAGGGACGGAGGGAGGGAGGGAGGGAGGGAATGAAGGAGGGAGGGAACTGGTCTTTGGGCGCACCTGTTTCCTGGTGCCCTTGCTGCCAGCTGGTGCAGGCCAGGGTTGGGGCGCCCAGTCGAGGCTGCAGGCGATGTGCCTGAATTTCCTTGTTCCACCTTTGGCTCTGGGCGGTGCCCGCGGGGCTTCTAGGCCATCCCCATAAACTATCCCCATAAATAGCTGTCCCCAGGACTGGGTGACCTGAGTCTTGGAGAGACATCCCACTTGCGGAGGCCCCAGAATGGTCCAACGCCTGGCCTGGCTCGTGTGCCCGCTGCTCTGTCTACCTTTGCTGTTTCTGCTGTGGCCGCTTCAGAGACCCCTGGAGGCCCGTGAGTGACCCCCATGCCCTGCGTTCAAGTCCCCCTGACTTCCCCAGGCTGGAGAGCCACCCTCCTTCCAGGGCCATAGTCCAGCCATCCTGGGATTTAGGGGCAGTGGCCGCAGGGCCCCACTCATGGCCACTGGGAAGGGACAGCTTTAGTCCCAGTCTCACAGCATGCCCCCGGCCCCAGGAGGAAACCGGTGTGGAGAAACAGCCTAGGGGGACCCCCGTATGGGGGAGAGGGAATCCACCTCAAAGTGACCAGCAGAGACCGCCGCCCCCCGGGCTGCTGGACATTTCTCCCCAGGACCCCTTGATCAAATACCAACACATGGAGGGGTCAAGGGTACATAAGTTCTGACCCAGATGTGTGTCTCTGGGATGCCCATTCCTGATGCACCCCATCATCATAAATGCACCCCACTCGGTGTTCACCTCTCGCTGTCCCAGAGGTGGCGGGCCCCAGGGACCCTCCTGAGTTCCCTAAACTAAGAACACTTTCAGGTGAGGAAGGTTCTTGCCTTGTATATGGCTGACATATGTAAGATAAGGTTCTTACATATGTCTTACATACGTAAGATAAGATACTCCCCCGCCCCCTCTCACCACCACACATGGGCACCCTGAGACTACTAGGAGTGATCCCTGAGAGCAGAGACAGGAATAAGAAGCTTCCTGAAGAACTGGTCTCAAGGCTAGGAATTCGGGGATGAAGTGATAGCACACCCGGGTTCAATTCCCAGCATCCCATACGGTCCCCCAAGCACCGCCAGGAGTAATTCCTGAGTGCAAAGCCAGGAATATCCCCTGTGCTATTGCTGGGTAGCGCTGTAGCACTGTCCTCCCGTTGTTCATCGATTTGCTCCAGTGGGTGCCTGTGTGACTCAAAAAAAAAAAAAGTTTAGGAATCCTGCCTATGAAATTTTGTATCATTCCCTGAAATATGAGGGATAATCCAGCTGTAGAGAATACTCTTGCTGAGGTGTTCATCTCATTGTTCTGGGTTTTTTGTTGGTTGGTTGGTTGGTTGGTTGGTTGGCTGGTTGGTTGGTTGGCTTTTGGGACACACCCAGAAGGGTTACTCTTGGCCCCTACTCGGGAATTACTCCTGGCAGTGCTCAGAGAGGCCTGGGATTGAACCTGGGTCAACCGTGCAAGGCCTATTACCTATTACTCCACCCCAACATTGTTTTTCTCTCCTTTTTGGGGGGGGGGGGGGAGGGCGGGTATCACACCCTGCAGTGCTTAGGGCTTAGTTCTGGCTCTACAGTCAGGGATCACCCCTGGTGGTGATAGAGATGCTGGGGGACCCTATGTCGGCCACATGTAAGACAAGTGCTCTACCTGTTTTATTCTTGCACACGCCCCCCTCAGTAAACAAATCAGCCCCTAATCCCACCCCCACCCCAGCTGACTCAGCCACTTACCCCAACCCCTCACACACTATAGAACCTCTGAACTTTATTTTGCTTGAGGGACCACACCCAGCAGTACTCAGGGATCAGTCCTGGGAGGGCATAGGGTGCAGGAGATGGAACAGGGTCAGCATCTTGCCAGGCCAGTGCCTTATCCACCGTACTAACTCTCCAGCCCCTAGAACCCCTGGATTAAAGTGAACACGCAGAGGAGCAACATCGGGGGAGGGGGGCTCCTCCCCATCTTGAGTGCCCCTCCCACCTTCAGCATGTCTCACTCCCATCCAGCCCCTACAGCCAAAGAGGTGGTGGCCGTGTGGGCCCCCGGAGAGGTGCACGGTTTCCTGGGCGACACGGTGAAGCTGCCCTGTAACCTGCGATTTCCGGAGTCCAAACCCCAGAACGTGACGCAGATAACGTGGAAGCGGTGGGCACCGTTGATAGAATCCAGCGTCGTGGCGGTCCTCCACCCGCTGTATGGCCCCAGAATCCTGGAGTCCGGCCATGTGATGTTCACAGCTGCCGAGTGGGGCCACAACCTACTAGACGCTTCGCTGTCGGTGCACCGGTTGCACCCAGAGGACGATGCCAACTACACGTGCGAGATCACCACGTTGCAGGAGGGGAGCTACAGCGCCACCACCTGGCTCCGGGTGTTCTGTGAGTGTGGGGGGCGTGGCGGGGAGGGTGGGGCTTTAGGGGAGGGGCGGGGCTTGGGGGACGGGGCGGGGCTAATGGTGGGCGTGGTTATCGGAGCAGGGCTCAAGGAGCCATCTAGTGGGGAATTGATTTTATGTTTGTTTGTAAATTATGTAAATCTGTAAGTGATCCATGCAAATTTCCAGATGTAAATAATCAATTACACCTAGGTGCTGCGCTCCAGCCCCGGCGGTGGGGAATTGAAACACACACACACACACACACACACACACACACACACACTACACACAGGGCAAATGTCTCTACTGGCTCCACTATGTTTCGGCCCCTACACCAAATGATTTTTTTTTTAAATAATAGGCTTTATTTCTTCCTCCGCAGCTGGCCAAATATTTCTATTTTCATTGGTCAGCAGGTGCAAAAATATTGAAAACCACTGGTCTATTCTGGCCTCCCCATCCCCCGGGCCACTCAACACTATCCACAGTCTACACCAGGGATCCAGATCTATCCACGGTCTACACCTGGCTGTGGAGTTGTCTCTGTTTTCCGTATTGTCTAGACTGCGTCTGTCTCCATGAACACCCTTCATTTCCTGTCCTCTCTACACTGGCCCGCCAGGAGAAGGGTCTACACTGTCCTTCCCGGTACAGAACCCACTGCCCTCTGCCCTGACACTGTCTACACTGGCACCTCAGGGGCTGCCTACCTGTCCCACAGCTGCCTCCCTGCTGCCCTGTGGCTGTCTCCACGGCCCCCAACACCATCTGCCTGTACCACCCCTCACAGCCTCACCCTCACTAAGTGCCCCCATATCAGGCTCCCTATACAGCCAGATGTAGGTCCCAGCAGGGCCCCATCCTGAGTGTCCCCCATGGTCTGTGCATCCCCTGCGTGTCCAACACGTGCCCCAGGAATCACCTGCACCCCAGATTTTCTGTTCAGGGGTGCCTATGTCTCTATCCCCACCCCAGTGCTGCCCACAGAAGCAGCAGAGAAGGTTCAAGACCGCCACAGCCCCCAGCAAAAACCTTACAGAGAAAGAAGGCAGCGTAGAGCACTGCTTTTACCCACTTCTTTCCCAAAGCTCATTCAATACCGTGTTGGAACCTTGGGATGGACCCTAATGGGCTGGGCTTCATGGGGCTCCCCTCCCAGGGTGGTGTCTGTGGACACAGGAGGAAGGGCTGGGCAGACTGGACAGTGCAGATCCAAACTCGGGCTACGTGTGGTCTACACTAGCTCAGCCTAAAGCACGTGCACCCCCTTCCATCTGCTCTCCTCTGCCTCCACTGTGTCCCCCGTCAAGCCTCGCCCCCTGGGGTCTGGGATCCGCCCACTCTACTGATGCTCCCCCCACCAAGCTTCTACACTGAGCCCAAAAGGAGAGTCTACTTAGCCATGCTGAACACTCCCCAAGCCCCATCATCCCAACTGTCTACACTGCATACTCCCCAAACCCTTGTCTGTGGCTATTCTCTCAGACGCTGTCTACGCTGGACCCTTGGGTGTTCTCACTAGTCTGAGGGTGCGAGGGAGCTACATGGACAGCCCGAGCAGCCCCCTCTCCCCCTAGATGTGATGCTGCTGTTCATCTTTGAAAGCACTAGCAGTGGGAAGAGGGGCGCCAACAGAAGACCTTACAGGACTTGTCAGAGCCTTGTGTATAAGGAGGGTCCCAGTCTCAAGGCCTGGCCATGGCACCCCCACAACTGCTGCCCAAAGAAAGACCCTTCTCACCCTGCTGCCTTCCACCCTAAGGCCCTCCGACTTCCCTTCCCCTCCTCCAGGCCTCCCATCTCAGTTGTACCTGAGGGACCTGAGCCCCAGCCCCACCTAAGTGTGGGCCCCATCTCTGTCCCCTCCCCAGATGCCCCCCAGGTTTTCATCTCCCGTTCTGATACCACTGGGCAGCAGGGCCGTTATGAGACCACCCTGACCTGTAACGCCCGCGGCAACCCGGAGCCCAAGAGTTATGACTGGAACACGTGAGTCTTGGGGCCTGATCTGGTTCTGAGGGGGGCAGCTGAGATAGATTCCAGGTCTGAGGAAGGAGGCTGAAAGATCCTGGTCTGAGATGAGGGAGTAGCCAAAAGGATAAAGGGAGAAATTGTCTCCTATTACTACGTTTCACTTGTGGAGAGGGAGCTCAGCTCAGTGGCAACCAGGAGCCCACATGTGTGAGGACTTGGGTGCACTGCCTAGCACCCCACATCCATAATTATTTTTTATACAATCAAGCAGTCTTGCAAAAACAGTTTCTGAGGGTCTCAGCCCAGGCGGCAGGTACCCCAGCTCTTCCCAGGGCTGCTCATGCCCCGTCCTCACCCTCCTGCCCCGATCCCCACACTCCCCACGCAGCACTGGGCTATGTGGGCAAAGATCACCTGCACCCAGTTGGTGCGACAGTTGCACCATCACAGCTTTGATGAGGCAGAGATTAGAACAAAGGAGGCAAAAACAAGTAAACAAGTAGGTCTGAGGTGATGGGGACACTGGGAACCCGATTAAAGGAAGTGATTTTCCTCTGACTGACATGGGAGTGCTGAGCAGAGTTGGGCCTTGAGTTCTGTTCCAGCAAGTTCTCTCAGACCATCAGGTGTGTGTATTGGGGAGTGACAGGGGAAGCAGGAGCCAGGGGACGGAGGTGAGAGTGGAGGCCCTGAGGACTGGAAGGTTCTGGATGGATTCTGAAGGTAGCTCTCAGGACCTGCTGTGAAGTGATGGGGGAGTGAGAGGGAGAGAGTCCGGGGAACTCCAGGTACCCCTCAACTTGGGTCGCACGGGGGAGGTGCTGGGTTCCTCAGTCCCTGTCACTCTGGGTTCCAGCAGAGGCCACATTCTTATCTGCTTGTGTCTCCCAGGACCATGGGCTCCCTGCCCCCCTCTGCTGTACCCCAGGGCTCCCGGCTCCTGATCCAGCACACTGAGGAGTCCATCAATGCAACCTTCATCTGCCACGTCTCCAATGACCTGGGAACGGGCCAGGCAGCCATGAGAGTTGAGTTCCCAGGTGAGGACCAGTGGGGAGCACAAAGATACCCCAGGAGGTGCCAAGCAGGACTGTCTCTGAGGGATGAGTTTGGAAGTGTCCCTAAGTCTCTTGCTTTTTGGATACTCAGAAAGGAATTTCCAGGATGATTAGACAGAACCTTAGCTATTGCAGTTGCTACAAAAACCACTCAAAGTTGGCTGAACACCATGGAATTTTATTCTTTATTTGGGCTGGAGGAAGCCAGATTGGACCACACCTGGTGGTTATCAGGGATCACTCCTGTGGGCTCAGGAGACCAGATGGGGCACCAGAGATTGAACTGGATGTGCCACGTGAAAGACAAACACCCTACCCGCTTTACTATCATTCCCCAAAGTGTTTCATTATTTAGAAGGCATCTTTAGGGGCCAGAGTGATATTGCAGCAAATTAGGTGATTGACTTGCACACAGATTCAACCCCCAACACTCCAGATGTCTGGGCCCACCAGAAATGATCCCGGAGTGCAGTACCAGGTATAAGCCTTGAGCACCACCAGGTGTGGACCAAAAACCAAAACAAACAAACATACAAACCAAAAATCACCTTCAGGTTTGATTCAATCTAAGTGTTCCTACTGTGAATGTAAATAAGGAGCTTTTGGTGTTTTATTTCCACTTACCTCTTTCTTGGCCTTTCTCAACGATGAGATCTCGTAAAGCCAGGATGTCAGTCCCCACAGCGCCCTCCCTCCCAACAACTGCCCCCAAGCTTTACAGAGTCTCATCCCACCGTTTACTCATGGGGTCTGGGAGGCATCAACACTTTCAATAGTTTGGCCCAAAGTCTCAGGACTGACTTTCATTGGCTCAGTTTGGGTCACATGCCCCCCAGGAACCGACCAATCATAACAGCCGTACAGAATACAGTGTTCTGATTGGTCAGCAGTGCACCGTAGCGCTCTATGGAATGAGAGTGGTTGCCTGTAGGATTGAGGGGCGATGTTTGCTGGGTACGGGGTACACCAGAGTCTTCCCTCTTAAGTCCCTGCTTCCTTCCCTTCCAGAAGCAAAAAGTCCTGAACCCACCAATGAAGAGCCAAGCTCATTGCTTAAGACCAGCTTCAAGTTTGGAATCACGCTTCTGATAGCTACCGTCATCATTCGTGCTTCAGTCAATAAGCATCCTAAGTTGAACGCACCGGAATTCCCTCATCTCAAACATTCCCCATTCACCCACCAACTGTGAAAATTCCAGCGCCACGATCACTGAGTCCCCACCATGTACCAGGTCTGTGCTCGGCCCTGGGCATGGCAGCCTCTCCCAGAATTGTTCCCAAAGCCACGGCAGACCCCCGTTTTGCAGACACTAGCCACTGTGGTTGGGGAGTCTTGTCCACAGCTGTCCAGCAGCTGCACTAAACGGCCCAGTTACCAACGACTCAAATAGGAATATTTTGTCAACTCTCTTTTCCCACATTTTATTTTTCCCCACTTCATTTATCGTGCTGTTTGGGCCACACCAGGCAATGCTTTGGGACCACACCTAGGGGGTCACACCAAGGCAATCAGGCCTCCTGAGAAGCCTGCGATAATTAGAAGCACATGGCCGCTTATGTGGCTGCATGACCTCTCACGATATACAAAGTGAGCAATGGAAAATAAATGATCTAGCATCTGCCCTTGGAAGGCAGTCTTGAATGGTGGTGGGAAAATCCGAGCAAAGTGTAACTCCCAAAAGTAGAGAGAGAGTATCTGAGCAATTGTCTGCCATAGAGACAGGGTAAGGACTGGGATGGAAGTGGGGGGGATAATGGGAACATTGGTGATGGATAGTTTGCACTGGTGGAGGGGTGGGTGCTCGATCATTGTATAGCTGAATCTCAAACATGAAATCTTTGTATCTGTATCTCACGGTGCCTCAATAAAAAATTAAAAATAAAAAAATAAAATAAAGACAAGGTGAATAACAATATCAGTGGGCAACCAAAGCCTGACCCGCTGGGTGCTGGGTGCTGGCTCTCTCCATGGTTCAGAGCACTGGGGGAGATGGCTCAGGGGCACGTGGAACCCTGGGTTTGATCTCTAGTATCTCAGAGATCAAATCCCAGGCCTGGCTCTGGGATTCAAGCACAGTCCAACAGGTGGGATCCTTGGGCCCAAGAGATAAAGTCACTGTTCCTGAGCTCTGACAGCCAAGGAACGGCCGAGAGGCCGCAGCCCAGGACCCCAAATCACAAGGGCTAGGCCTGGGTCTCCGGGTCACTCCCTCTGCCTGAGCCGTGCATTACTGCATTTTACACCTCAGTCCTCTCCGCCTTACCCCTCCCGTGGAGTTCAGAGATTTCTGCCTGCTCCAAACCTGGGGATTCAAGAAGACGCTGAAGCAGGCAGGCAGGGAAAGGGGCCCCTCGCCCCTGTAGCAATGAGATCTTGGGAAGTCATAAAACTAGACCTGAAATGCATTAATTACCTTGATCCAAAGACTCACAACTGAATCTCGGAACCAAGCAGCTCGCTGCAGGGTTGCCTCCAGACCAGGCCCTGTTTGGGTAGGGCTTCCATGACCGCTTCCGTCTCAACAGAATCAAAGGCCTTCTTTAAATCAATGAACGTTAGACAAAGCGGCATCTTGAACTCCCGAGAAACCTCAATGAACTTGGTTATCGTGTGAATATGGTCGATCGTGCTGAATCCTTTGCAGAACCCGGCTTCCTTGCATGGCTGTTCTTCATCTAGTGTTCTGCCAATCCTATTCAGGATGACTCAAGTGAACAGCTTGTAGACGATAGACAACAGGCAGATCGGGCAGTAGTTGCTAATGTCATGGATGTCTCCCTTTTTGTACAGTAGTACAGTCCTGCTGATTTTCCACTGAGATGGAACATATCCATCCTGCAGAATTTGGAATTTTATGAAAATAAAATTTTAAAAAAATAGCCCTCATGCTGCCAGGATCCACCTTGTGGACATAGGAACTAAGGCCTGATAAGACCTTTAACTGGTGCCAGCAGAGACGCAGAGAAGGCTGGACCCCCCTCTGAGAAAATCTCCAGCAGGAACAGAGGCCAGGAAAGGAATTTCAAAGCAGAGCATCCACTGCTCCCAACTCCACCCTTTGGAAACCCCCTCTAGCAACGGACTCTTATCTAGGTAGAAAGTCACACCTGGGGCACCTTGGGAAAAATTCTCCAAAAGCCAACTTGAAGAAAGGAGGCGCGTGCATATAGGCGTGTGCCCCCCACCCCGCATCTCCCCTTTTGAGATACGGACCTTCATACGTCAACACTGGGGTGTGTGCTGGGTGGCTCTCTCCACTCAAGAAGCCCTCTCTCGAACACAGGGGATTGCCCTGCCACAGAGGCAGGGGGGGATGGGGGGATGGGGGTGGGGGGATATTATCCATGGTGGTGGAAAATGGGCACTGGTGGAGGGATGGGTATCTAATCATTGTATAATCGAAACCCAAGCACAAAAAAATGTAAATCTACAACTGTACCTCATGGTGTTTCACTAATAAAAAAAAAATGCAAAAAAAAAAAAAAAGGAAGCCCTCTCTCTCCCTCTCTTTCTCTCTCTCTCTCTCTCTCTCTCTCTCTCTCTCTCTCTCTCTCTCTCTCTGCTTTTGGGGTCACACAACGATGCTCAGGAGTTATTCCTGGTTGTGTACCCAAGAATTACTGCTGGCAGGGATTGGGGAGTGAACCCAGGTCAGCTGTGTGCAAGACAAATGCCCTCCCCATGGTACTATCACTCTGGTCCTATGGAAAAGCCCTCTCTTGAATGATTTACTCTCTGTCTCTCTCTCCTTCCTTTGAATTTCTAAGTAAAATCTGTTTTTACTCCTCCTGATTTTTTTTCTTTTTGGGTCACACCCAGCAATGTTCAGGGGTTACTCCTGGCTCATGCACTCAGAAATTATGCCTGGCGGTGCTCAGGAGACCATATGGGATGCTGGGAATTGAACCCAAGTCAGCCACATGCAAGGCAAATGCTCTACCCGCTGTGCTATCACTCCAGCTTCTCCTCCTGAATTCTTTCCTGAGAGACAAAGGCAGCAGGCCCAGAAGGCCTGGGGAAAGGCCAGGACTGACCTTCTTTCCCTGCCAAGAGCAAGGCCGACAGCAAGCTCTGGTCAGCCCTCACTTTCCACAGCTGTACCCCCGGACAGAGCAGATCTTCTACCTCTATCCCCCACATTTCACATAAGTCACCCAGGGACCCCCCACAACCTGACAGCCTTCTGCTGTTGGGTGTCCAGCACACAGGCTCTGTGTATGTCTCACACTGACCCCCAACTCGTCACTGCCTGCAGGTCCGGGCACCTCCCCCGGCATTGATCTTAGACACTGTCTAACCGGAGGGTGATGGAAATGTCGCAAAGTGACCCTCGTGCCTGAGACTGGCCTTTTGAAAATTTAAAAGGTCTAGTTTTGGGGCCAGAGTGATAGTACAGTGGAGAGGGCTCTGGTCTTGCAAGCGACTGACCTGGGTTCGATCCTCGGCATCCCATAGGGCCCCTCAAGTACTGCCAGGAGTGATTCCTGAGTGCAGAGCCAGGAGTAACTCCTGAGCATCACTGTTGTGACCCAAAAAGACAAGAGAGAAAGAAAGAAAGAAAGAAAGAAAGAAAGAAAGAAAGAAAGAAAGAAAGATTTTTTTTTTTTTTTGCTTTTTGGGTCACACCCGGCCATGCACAACGGTTACTCCTGGCTCTGCACTCAGGAATCACTCCTGGCGGTGCTCAGGGGACCATATGGAATGCTGGGAATCGAACCAGGGTCGGCCATGTGCAAGGCAAACACACTGCCCACTGTGCTATCACTCCAGCCCCAAGGAAGGGAACATTTTTAAGGGCTCTTTTTGGGAGGGACTAAGGAGGGGCACTCTGGAAGTGCTCAGGGTTTCCTTCTGGTTCTATGCTCAGACCTCACTTCTGAGGTGTTGGGAGACCATATGGGGCATTGAGGCTGGAACCTGGGTCCAGCACATGCAAGGAAAACACCTTTCCTGCTGTACTCTCTCTCTCTCTCTCTCCTGAAATACCGAGTTTTAAGTGATAAGTTTGATATAGGCAATTAGAAAGGGAAGGGCCCCCGTGGCAGTGAAATTCCTGGGAAGTAATAAAGCCACTAGTCCTAAGGCCATCCAGAGGTACCTGTGAGCACAGGGACTAAGACCTGATAAGGCTTCACCTGATGCCAAGGGACCCAGAGAAGGTTGGACCCCTCTCTGAGAGAAGCTCCAGCGGGAACAAAGGCCAGGATAGGAGCTTCAAAGAAGACCATCGACCACTCCCAACTCTACCCCCTTGGCAACCTCCTTTGCAACGGACTTTGATCTAAGTATAAGTCCCACATGGGGCACTTTGGGAAAAACCCTATAAAAGCCACCTTGAACAAAGGAAGGGCACATAGGCTGCCCGTTCCCGTGTGCTGCTTGTGTCCATGTGACGGAGCACATGTGGCGTCCCAGTACATGCGTCACCCGAATCTCCCCTCTTGAGATGTGTACTTGCATGCTTCCACCTAATGCATCTCTGAAGAAGCCCAGGTTCTCTCTTGGGCACATTACTCTCTTACTTTCTCTCCCTCCTTCCTCTTCCTAAAACCTCCAAGTAAAATCAGTTTTTACATCACTGTTTTTACATCACTGTTTTACATCACTCCTGAAATTCTTTTCTGCAAGACAGGATAAAGACCTGGAAACTTTGGTTAGGTCTGGGACTGACTTTCCTTTCCTGCAAAGAGCAAGTCCTCACTCCAGCCTGAGTCTGCAGCTCCCGGAGAGATTGGGTGGTGGGGATCAACTCCCATGCAGAGAAGACCAAGCGGATGTCAGGTGTGACTTGATGGCCACCTCACGGGGCTGGCCCGTGACCTGCAGGGGCTCATCGCAGACTATCAGTCTCAGCCGCTCCAAGGGTGGCAGAGGCAGATGGGGAGAAAGTGAACATCTCTCCTCCCCGCCTCACATAAGCAGCCCATGGGGACCCACCAACTTTCGTTTGAGGACCCTTCCTGGAGCAGACAGAGGGACAGAGATAGGTCAAGTGAAGAAATAGGAATGACTCATTGTTTTGTTTTTAATTTTATTTACTTTTATTTTTTATTTCATAAGGTTGTTCACAGGCTGGAGCAATAGCACAGTGGGTAGGACATTTGCCTTGCACACGGCTGACCTGGGTTTGATTCCTCCATCCCTCTCGGAGAGCCTGGCAAGCTACGGAGAGTATCCCGCCCTCACAGCAGAACCTGGCAAGGTCCCCATGTCATATTCAATATGCCAAAAACAGTAACAACAAGTCTCACAATGGAGACTTTACTGGTGCCCACTCAAGCAAATCGATGAACAACAGGAGGACAGTGTTACAGTGCTAAGGTTGTTCACAATAATTTATTACGTTCAATATTTCAACACCA